CGCTTCCAGAAACCCCACGAGCACACGTTTTCTTGCTATACCCCATTCTGTTGAAATAGTGCTTCACATCCACAGGCTGTGCAGTGAGTGGGCAGTGTCTGGCCCACATAAGACGAGCACACGTGTTCTTGCTATGCCCCACCCTGTTGCAATCGTGCTTCACATCCACAGGCTGTGCAGTGAGTGGGCATTGTCTGGCCCATATAAGACGAGCACACGTGTTCTTGCTATGCCCCATTCTGTTGAAATCGGGCTTAACTTCCACAGGCTGTGCAGTGAGCGGGCATTGTCCGGCCCACATAAGACGAGCACAGGTGTTTTTGCTATGCCCTATTCTGTTGAAATCGTACTTCACATCCACAGGCTGTGCAGTGAGTGGGCATTGTCTGGCCCATATAAGACGAGCACACGTGTTCTTGCTATGCCCCATTCTTTTGAAATCGTGCTTCACATTCACAGGATGTGCAGCGAGTGGGCATTGTCTGGCCCATATAAGACGAGCACACGTGTTATTGCTATGCCTCATTCTGTTGAAATCGTGCTTCACACCCACATGCTGTGCAGTGAGTGGGCATTGTCTGGCCCATATAAGACGAGCACACGTGTTCTTGCTATTCCCCATTCTGTTGAAATCGTGCTTCACATCCACAGGCTGTGCAGTGGGTGGGCATTGTTTGTCCCAAATAAGACGAGCACACGTGTTCTTGCTGTGCCCCATTCTGTTGAAATAGTGCTTCACACCCCCAGGCTGTGCAGTGAGTGGGTATTGTCTGACCCACATAAGACGAGCACACGTGTTCTTGCTATGCCCCACCCTGTTGCAATCGTGCTTCACATCCACAGGCTGTGCAGTGAGTGGGCATTGTCTGGCCCACATAAGATTTGCCGCAGGAAAGCGGAATCTCGTACACCAATCCCACATCGCATTGCATCACCAGCTTGACATGCTTCTTGCCACAAAGCCGCTCGGAATTCCACGATTTCTGGTGCGCTTTTCTAATTCAGCGCAATTTATCCTGCATAGAATGAACCAACTAGCCCAGATCATGCAGTCAGGGGCGCTGGGAATAGATCGGGGGAGGGGGCAATGTTATTCGAAGCGCCCCTTATCTATTAAGTAAACATATGGGGGCAGACTTAGCGCACCCACTCAGGTGTCTCAGGGTGGTGGGGGGGCGCGACAGTGTCCCTCCCCCTTCCCCCCCCCCCCCCTGTGCACACGCACGTATGACACGAGCTGAGTTTTCGTCACAATTGTTTCACCTTTGTTTTGTGACCCTAATGCACAAAAAGTAGCTTCTGTTTTATTTTGATTTTTGTTATGATTTTATCTTTCAGCGGATAGCTGTTCTTCCATTTGTGTGTTGTAGTGCACACATGCGCTTGTTTCCCTGTTGCTTTTGCCTCTTGGTGCGCGATGAAGGCTCCCATATTTCTATAAATAAAGGTCAGTTTAAAGTGAGTGATCATCTTTTTAGTTCTTGCTCATTTTGTTTGTTTTGGCTCCCAAGTGAATCATACATATTGCCCCGTCCAATTTCAATTTGCCGCCTTTTTAGATTTACATTGAGCGTCATCTGTCTGTTTATTCGATAGAATGGAATGGCTTCCAAGACTTCCCAACCAAAACCCGTATTGCGAAAACGTTCGTACAAAGTCAGACAGATGGCGCACCGTCATCAATGTGTGTCCGTGTTTTCAATGGATATCCATGGAGGAAGGAAACTTGTGTTTTCACACAGAACACCTATACATTTTCACGTGTGTACTCGGGCTGGGATGTTGCGTACAGAAAGTTTTCGACTGCATTTTTAGCGGAAATGGAATCTTAGCAACATGCTGGGAAGTTCACGCACGTGGAGCTAATATTACAAATTATTCCAGCGAGTACATCTTACGTTACTGATTCGCATCACAATATTAGGTCACTCTAACAATACTGTGGGACTCCTTCCTTTCTCTATATATACCTTTTATTCCTATCCTTTTAATGCCTCCTCACCCCTATCCCCTGTGAGCTACTGTTGAGGTGTCGCACCCTGATGCAGACAGTTACGGGGCTCACTTTTCTTTTCCCTTTAAGAACCACATAAGACATGGAAACACAAGGCCCGTTCGATTTAACCGCACTGCCTGAAATAGTGCACGTGGTGCCATACTCGACAGTTCGTTTTGGTAGGGCAAGTTGGCGCCCTCTCAATTGAGCCATCCCTTTGAAATAAGTTCAGGCATCGTGCACGGCCAGTTCAGACAAATCCCTGCACTAAGTTTGGAGGTAGTGCAACTCGAGTACAAGCAGTGACGCTGTTGCAGCCATGGTAGCAGCCGAATTATACGTAAACGTGAGCCAAGCGTATACGCGCAAAGCGCAGCACAGTAAAAGGGAAAGCTGGAAGAACGCCATTTCTAGTGCCCGTTGTAAGCTCTCTTGGAGCCACTATATACAAGTACACTTGCGAGGAACCCACTAAGCCATAAATCATAACTCTTGGGAAGGTGGGAATCACCCGTTAAGAATTATTCGTAATTTTGCGGAGAAGCGAGGTACCTGCTACAGATCTTCCAGGCATTAAGTGCACTCTGTTGATGCGGTAGCTGATGATGATGGAGAAGAATAATTGAGTCCTCTGTAATTGGTTGAAAGCATTCGACGACCCAATCGTTACGCACTTCGCATTGTGTGACGCTTGGTTGTTATTTTACTATTCAACCATGCTACATTGCACATGTTGAGTGGATCCTTCCGAACAACAAAAAAAAAAGGGGTGGTGAAGGAGGAGGGGTCTTTTTGCGACGGAGTTCAAGCGCCCGCATAATAATGGGCTTAATAGTAGTAGAACAGTGAGCAGCGATGGAGAAGGCCAAGGCTCAAATCCCGTTCCATACTGGATACGTGATAGTGGTTACGGACAGCGGCATACAACTACGGCGCCAAAAGTGCCATTACGATCTCATAACAGCTTTCGCTGTAAAACTGTGTACAGAAGCACCGGCTCATGCAGGAGATACAAGGTTATGATCAATCTCATAAATGACGTAATACTAACCTGTAATGGTGCAAACAAACCATTTTATGAATGTGTCTAAGTTTCACCATGTGCGATGTTAATGCTGTCACTGAAGCAGAAGGGAGATGAAAGGCAAGGTCGCCTTTACAAGATGGGCGGCACATTACCGAGCGCCAGGCTAATGTACGCCTATTCCATCAAGAAAACTGTTGTCTGCTAAACAACACAATCATTCGAACCCAGTAGGTCCAGTAGTACAGGCAGAGGCTGAGCCCCTTTGTCACCACTGTGGTTGGAGGGTGTACAGGCACGCAGCCAATCCATTTCCCCTCATGCATCACGTAAGTCTACGTAGCCACCTCTATCTACCTTCTGGAACACTACTGCGATTCGCCTTCCTAGCGCATTACGCCGTATATACTTGGATACGATGCGTTAGAAATGCGATATGGTCAGTGCCCCGGCCACTTATCACATTCAGGCAAACGGGATGATTCATAGCAAATAAAGGAGACTGCAAGCTCCACAGGTCATGAGCATAGCTGAAAAGCGAAAGAAACTAAAATAAAAATCTCAACAATGGCGTGTGGACAGCCTACATGATAACGCATGCCTTCGGTGTGTCCGCCATTAATTCCGCCACTCAGCTACATATCTGATAATTTAAAGGTCAAATAAAAGATTCCATTAGTCGCGCCGTTACAAAAGCAAAACAAGAACATCTGTATTATGGCCGACGATATGACCTTTCTTGTCACTCAAGTATCGTTCGTGCCGCAAATAAACGATGCAAGAGAGGCTATACATATGACTGAAAACGCCATGATGTTTGTGAGTTTAGCTAATAATGTAGCCCGCATTGTGCTCCAAAAGATTATCCTCGAAGATTAATCACTAAGGATGCATGTGATGTGTATCCTGCGCAAGCGTTTCTTCATAAATATTTATTACGATAATAATGAATTATTGCTTTGATTGAAGTGACACGCTAACTTGTGTTTTAGAAAACATGTGTCAGCGTCACACATTTCGCTTCTTTCTTCCAGTCCAAAACTTGTCGAAGGGTCGTATAGGCAATTCAGAGGATTGGGATCCGTGAAATAACGTGTTATGCCATAATCATGAGCAGAAACCATGTTTTTTTTTATTGAGGGAGAGACAGGGAGTTAGGGAACACTTGCTTAGTGTTGTTTTGTTTCTGACAATGAATTTGTTCTTGAAAGAGGCCGTGAGGGGCAAAAATTTAGGGGTAGTTCTCCCCTCGCTATCATGGCGGCGCCACTGCCGGAGTCACGCCCGAGCAGGTTTCTAAATAGAAATTATTTCAAATTATTGGTGTTCCGCCATGGCGGAACAATGGTTATGGTGCGAGGCTGCTGGCCGAAGATCACGGGTTTGATCTCGGCCGCAGAGAGGACATTTCGATGAAGACGAAACACGTGAGGCCCCCGTACTTTAGATTTAGGTGCACGTTGAAGAAAATCAAGCACAAAAAGTTTGCAAGGACCTGCACATACGGCGTCCCTCATAATCATATGGGGGTACGGTACGTAAAGCTACTACTACTACTACTACTACTACTACTACTACAGATCACAGACAAAGTAGAAACTCCCATTATGTGTAGCCACCATCATCTGACACCCACAGATATCGTGTAAAAGCGTATGCGTCAGTGATTTACATAAGTGCCAAACGAAACAGTATCAACGTGACATTTAGAAACGAACGCCCATGACTTCTGAACCGATACGGGCGATTGACAAGCAATGTGCGCACATAGTAACCTCAGTGCACGTCCCCTGACCGCACGCAGACCACTCACTTGCCCAACTGATAATGTTCATTCCAGTCGCGAGTAGTATGATAAACGAAAATGTGTAACCGCTACTGCTTCTCGGGCACTCGGGCGATAAGAGATAGCGTATGGCTGACGCGGACTGGTCTATTGTCTTCGATGTGGGCCTCTTTCTGGAACTATCGGGTCGACGCTACTTATAAAATTGTGTGTGGATCCCCGTTGAACCACTGCCGCCGGTCCTTTCAGTCACAATGGCCCGTCACTGCTCCCTTCTCGCTTTTTGCCTCGTCGCTGTAGTGGCTCCAGCCGTCCGCGGGGACCTTACCCAAGTACAAGTCGAGGAATGCTCACGTAAGGACGTCTCCATTGCTATTTCGCTTGTATTTGCTCACAGGTCAAATCTTTCGCGCTGACATTGCTGTTTACCTGCACTTTATCGTGCGTACAGGCACTGTTAAAGAACTTGGTAGAGGGTTGGCTGTTTCGGTGTAAATATAGTGAGCGGAAATTCATTAAGATGAACGGTAACACTGGTGTCATCCGCCACGGTGGTCGACAGTTGACCCGAAGGTCGCAGGATCGATACCGACCGCATTTCGACAGAAGCGAAATGCTCGAAGTTCAGCGACACCAAATTTCAAACGTGGGACGTGGCGTTCATTCGATTGCTTGATACGCACGAGTTTCTCAGTGAGGTATGAATCGCGCACGTGGCGTAGATGTTAATCTATTTCGATTGTCGATGGCTCATCGGCGCGTTCCCGGTCATAAGACATCGACAGTATTTTGAGGTGTTCAGCTGGTTCAGCAAACACCAATGCCGCCAATGTGCATGTGGTACCATCTGGTGGGGACGGCTTCACGAAACAATTGGGCGCTCACGTGCGCGCATTGAGAAACTCGGAGTGATACTACAGTGTACTAGAATATACACTATAGTGACACCGTGACGCCTGGAGAGTGCACGAACAACAGACCAACTATTCAATTACTCATTACTCATTTTTTTATTACTGTGGCGCATGAAACACCTGGGATGTGTCAAAAGGGAGTAGGAACAATTACTTACTTACTTACTTGCTTCAAGAAGCGCGTTTGTGTGAATCCAGCGTTTTCCTTGCGCCGCTTCGGTTCATTTGTCGCGGAGTCGTGATTGCGAATGTGATAATTTGAAGCCACAGTCATCGGGAGCAAGTAACACGCATGCAGCGTTCATGTCTCCTACCAGCCAGCGTGTCCCTGGCGTGCGTCTCCAGCTGCCTCGTCGCTGCATGGTCTAGTGTCGATTTCAAAATCGCTACTCGGAAGAGGATAGAACCGAAAATGATTCGGCATGCCACGAAATAACAGCGATTCCATATTATTCGGCGTTTTCATCGTCGTTTGCGGATGCTGATGACCGCGGTAACCATGGCGGCGACGACAGCGGGGGTGGCGAAGCCACGTGCGCGCTGAGCAGACGAAATGCCAACTGAGCGGAACGTCACCATTTCGTGGGGCCACGTGATAAGATGGGGCGGGACCGTTGGGAGTGACCGCTTGGCAGTGCTGGCAGCGCCAAAAATTGGCGGGCATTGCAGCCGTTTTGAATTGGGTTCAACACTGGTCGTACTAATCAATATTACATATATTAATTCGCCCCTTTGTTGCATTATTAGTACCGACTTGTTAGTATAGGGTGTCGATAACTCGACATGCGTAAAGTTGGTGTCGCTCTTTCAAAGACCACCAGACAGCAAAATTTCCGGAGTACTCCACTATACGGTGACTTTCGTAATCGTGTCATAGTTTTGGGACCCGACAGCTTAGCAATCATGATTATTTATATGTAACACTGGTGTCAAACGGTTACTTTTCATTGCAATCGGCCCTGATACGTATCACACTTCTTTATACTGATTGGCTTCTTTGCGAAATCTGTAGAGGGGAGCCTGTCACTCTTGATAAATTCAATCGGGCTTAATCGCGATCAGCAATGCTCCGTGTCACACCGGTATTAGACAAGATGAGATACTTACTTCAATGTCACCTTGAACACATTTTTTTTCTTTTTGTTGAATTTCGCGCGTTGTATTGCACTTTCAGCTTCGCACCGCCCGAGGCTACATACACTGTATAGGCTTCCCTTGCCAAGATTTCGGCAACATTAATTACAATTTCGCAGGCACCATGATTTTTCTAGTAGAAAATAGAGGGCAGCAAATGAGGGCATGAGGACTATTGATGTAAAAAAAAGAAAAGGATACATAATCCAGGTTGTGATTTATTAAGCGGCGAATGCATTGACTCTGGTCCAGTATTTCCTTATAGCATATATAGAGTGTTTCCTATCACTATGTTCAAGGAATACTAGCTGAAGTTTTTACGTCCTCTAAACCACAATATGATTATGAGAGGCGCCGTAGTAGGGGCCTTCGGAATCTGACCCTATGGTTTCTTACGGGCACTGATACCGCCCAAGTACATGGACCTCTATAATATCGCTTTCATCAAAATGACCACCACTGCCTGGATCGAACCTGCCACCTTCGGTTCAGCATTCGGGCACCCTATCCCCTACACTACCGCGGTAGACTGCGGTTCAGGAATGTCGGGAAAAAAAGAAAACGATAGAGAGAAGAATAGAGAAGGTCTTCATATGCTAATCACGTTGTACACTTCTTGCCCTGTGGTAGACGTTTTGTGGTCACACAAAGAGAATGGTCGCAGAAATGACACCGACGTATTCTTTTTCTTTTTTTACGCAGCTGGATCCACGAGCAACGTGGACGCTGTTCGCATTAGCCACTGTGCCACGCTGCCATGCACCGTAACGCTGGAGGACAAGCCGAAGGTTGAGATCGACTTCCGCGCAGGTAAGGAAGAGACACATCAAAGGACTCGTGATAAAGAAGCTCTGAAAATATTACGAGCAAGCGCGTTACTATTTCTTGATATTTCCCGTCTCTTTGGAACGACTCGTGACGCCAGCAGTCCGTTCACGTGACGTCATCGGGAAATATTTTCTTGGTTGGTACATACACGAGGGATATCAGTCGTTAATCGTCCCCTGTACGCTGATTTTACACGAAGTCGCATGCCCTTTATGCCTCGTCTCATATGACTATGGCGCACTATCATTGGATTTCACTTCGTATTGCGCGTTTTCGACAGCGCAAGTGGAGCTAACGGCATGTAGCTGAAAAGCGTGAAATCTCGATAGGCTCAGCTATTAGTGCTGAAACTGTCCACGTGTTTTATGAAATAAGAGAACTTCTCTCTATATTCTTTAAAACACGGAGTGGTGTACGCACAGAGAGCTTGTTCCCATTGCAAGAGCAGCTGTACGTTTCTTGGTCTGACGTTGACTTGAATCACGTTGACTGAAGTAACTGCGCCTCGACGTATTGATCACTGACGAAGATGGGAGACCGTATTATTAAAGTGCTCTGTAAGCCAATGTTATCAAGGTTCGATTCACGGCACAGCGTGACATGTCTATCGCCTGGAACTATACT